TCATAATACCTACTAATAAACAAGTACTAAACATCATTAGATACGATTAGAAACTTTTGTACTTGCATCTTAATGTAATCATCCAAGCATTTGATATAAAAAAGAAGTTACAAAAATGCCTACAAATAATTATATATATGCACATACATGATAAATAAGTGTAAACATAAACTTTACGATAAAATATTAGGACCTGACAGTAAATTGTAATAATATCACCTCCCACGTGAACATTGATGTATGACTCAGATATTAGAGCACTCACAGAAGTGAATAGAATAAGTAAGATAAATTTTATTGACCTTGACACTTCTCATGCAATCATTTGTTAGAATACCTGAGTGAAATTATTTTATGAACATTATGCCTAAACGCCTAATAAATAATTATATACATTCGATATAAATAGAATAAATCAAATGTTAATTACGATATTGTTTAAAAATTAAATTAATATTATATTTCAAGAACACTGTTTACTTGAAACCTTGCTTGGACAAATCGATTAAACGGACCTAATTGGTTACGTAATTAACTGTTTATCTGTAGTTGAACGTCAACGATTTAAGCTAATGGACAATTACAAACAAATTAATATAATATTCTGATAGAAAGTCGGTCAAAATACAAGTCCATCGCTTGAGAGACTTGTATTTTGACCACATGCGAGCCACATGACCATTGACCATTAATCAAAATGAAGTAAGACTGCATCTCTTTTATGGGTACAGCATATAATTTATTCGTGAGTTCTTTATACACATACGACTTCAAGTAAAAAAGAAAATATTGATAATAAGAAGTGACCTTCATATTGTATTTTAAGTATCCGCTTTCAGATTTCGACCTACAACTTTCTTAATTATATAAATGCATGAATGAATCTTTAAGCATAACCTAAATCATTAATTTCCATTGTATCACAGAGTTGGTCTTCAAAAACCAAATATATTTATTACAATTAATAATTTACACTTAACGTGTGCTCCAAGAGAATCATTACTTAAGTGAACCTACAACTAATTAGTGGTATGAAGATAAGAAAAATCTACATATGTAATTGCACAGACTTTCTTTATTCTGATTTCAAATTTAGAATGAACGAATGTTTATTAAAGTCATAAATTTATTAAGTAATTTATGAGGAAAGATTTAGTATACTGGAACACGGAGAATAAAGGAACACAAGTATCGATAACATTTTTACACGGATTCGTATAAGGACAACACTACGTTAAGTATGTTTGTTCGTGAATAATTTAGAAAGTTGCAAGACTCGTGAAGTTCTGTGAGGTAGGCATTACCAGTAATCACTGTACTAATTTCGTAATTGCAACGAATATCTTCAATATAATGGAAAACCACGTTTCTGTTTTCCAATTAAATTAAGTCTGATCCACTTCATTAAATATTTTGAAAAAAAAATACGTTCAAATAGAGTAATAATTTTATCGTCATTTTTAATTCTTTTTATAATAATTAATATATATTATTATAATAAAAATACTAATGTGCTGTCTTGTTCCAATGGACTAACTAGCGTAACTAGTTTGGACTAGTTATGAATATTTAAATTACTATAAACTATATATATATATATATATATATATATATTACGAATTAGCTTTTTTTTATTTGAAACATTGTGTATAAATATTTAAATTACTATAAACTATATATAGAAAAATGAATTAGTTTTTTTTTATTTGAATCATTGTGTATAGCTTTAAATTATTAAACTTAAAAATTAAATGAGATAAAAATTAATATTAAGGTTGACTACACGTGTCTATTTACAAATGCGACATCTAGCGGCAGGAAATGCAATCGACCAAGTAAACATATCAAACGAAACGTCAATGGCTCAGCTGATAGGCACGCGCAAGATGCCTTCATCACCATCATCAACAATCGACAGGCCTGGATTAAAAATAGTACGTGCGCATTTGGCCCACGCCCACCCCACACTCATAGCACAATACTTATTAAAATAACAAGACCATTACCCTTTTCAAAGCCGTATTCTTAATATTCTGCAACTCATTTTTTATTATGGAAAATTTCATCATTGTGTCTGACGAAAATATGGAACTGCCAAACGCCAAGCCCGGATAGTCGGCACATCTTCGCCTTCGTCTGTTCTCTCTTTCCGCTAACACCTCGGTACACACACTCGTACATCTCAATTTCGCTAATTCTGCAGTCTCAGGGTCATCATCTGAATTATCACAGGTTACGGCGGTCATCTCAGCCCCATCACCGGCCGACCGCTCATCTCTAAACGAGGAATCATCATCTGAGCTATCACGAGGTTCTGCACCGACAATTTTATCGTCAAAATCGATTTCATCGTCAAAATTTGCAAAGTCCTCGATAATATTTCGATTCGAAAGTGCGTCGTCACTATTCGTCCTTGTCACTTCTTGAGATTCACTAACACTATTGACACAAGGCACGACATCGTTTGTTTGTGTATTTAAAGTCACTTGTTTGGACGGATCAGTGTTTGGGGGCGCACTGGGGGCGGGTTGACGGTCGCCCCTGAGGCGCGGGTGGTGTTGGTGCCCCCTGCGCCGCACGGGGGCGCGCCCGGTTGCAGACATTGCTAAACGCGGCGCGGTCCGTCCGGCCGCGCACTGGCGGCCGCCATGTTGACTGACAGTCGACACCAACAACACACTGGCGCTGCCGTCACACATGTCAAGCGGCCATCTTCCCTTTTATCAAACTGTTTTATCGACACTACCTTACACATTTGTTTATAATAAACGCGCGGTAAAAATCAAATCTCAAGCACATTACTGTGGAAAAAAAAAATAGGGAAAGCAAAAACTGGTCTGGATTGGAAACACGTGTTGAAAATATAAATTAAAATTAATATAGAAATTGTAGTGCTTAAAGTCTTTTAAAAATTTGGAATGTAAAACATTTCCCGTAAATCGTATGCCCGATCATAGGAGTGCCCACGGCGGCGCGACCGGGTGCTATGTCTATTTTTACCCAAGAAAGCGGGCAACGCGCCCATATTAGGTGCCGAGCCCCGAAATAACGCGAGAACGCAGCCCGGCAACGTGGCGTACCGACAGACTGAAAACATGCACTAGATGCGAGCCTGTTTCAATTAGTTAAATCACTTTTAATTACTGGACGTGGATATTCAACAGGTCATCGAATATACTCTCTCCATAGATCTAGAATAATCTTTCTAAAAAATACCTATATTTTTATAATATTTATTATTATTTATGAGAGAATGATTTTGTGACTATAAAAAAAGTGCACTGCCCACTTCAGCGCAGTACAGGTTTAAGTAGACCACATTTCGAAAATACAACACCGATGTCGATGGGTCACGGTTGTTGGCTCGTTGCACTGACACACATTTTAATTTCGTCGCAGGCATGCACTCACGACAAAGGCATGTTGCGAAAGAAATTTAGTATGGCTTCCTGCCTCTCTTCTGTGATTAACAGCAGTACTATAGCATAGCAGGAGGGATAATTATTCAATACCTTTTTAAAATATTAACAGGATGAATATAATTATAATAAAACAATGACAACTACTTATCATCATTTTAAGTTTAGTTTATTAGAAAATATTCGGTCAGCTTTTGTAATAACAATCATATTTTAAGTAACAAACATTCAAATTAATAGTTCCTATAATTACTAAACAGTTAAATATTTATTTTAATTATTAAGGTACTCAATTTGCATTAGTTTACACTTCAGATCTTAAGTTGAAATCAATCAGAAATCATACAAGTCGCCAGAAGTGAAATCTACTTGTAAAATTTAAATCGGAAAATAAATTAAACAATTTTTACATGCGTTGATGTCTTTTCCAACGAAAAAGGACGAATGTGTTAATGTGATTTTTTGACAGTTATTTAAGTTTATATTGCTATGGCTGTTTTAGAAGCAACGTTCCGCTTATTTCGAAAGAGTATTATGAAGACGGTCGTGCTGTTAATTATTATTAACGATCGTTGGAGTAAAAGATGCTTTTTCGTCGTATAACAAAATTTAGTAATTTATATTGTTCTAAATGGAGTTCATAAGTCATCGTGCGAACTTGAATGCTTAATGACAGTTAATCAGATCGATGTTTTGTACCAAACATCGTCGCTTGTGTTCAGACAGAAGATAACATTATCAACAAGCAATCATTTAATGTTTTAAAAGATATTTTAATGCAATTTTGAAACTGATAAGAAATAAGACTAAATATGGTTTTACAATGATTAAAATCATATTTAGTCTTATTTGTACCAACGTAATTGCCAACCAGCACTAACATAAATTTTCCAATTTTTCGACACAATAAATTTTCCCTGAAGTTGTATCCGTAGAAGGTCGATTACTGGTCGAAGTTGCAGTTCTAGTGTTTACCTTGAATGTGTTTATAAACAACTTACCGAAATTAATATTCTCATGAAACGTGTGGAAAATAATAAATATTTTACCAAAAAACACTGACTATATAATTGAGGTCGCAAACTTGATATTGATGGAACTAATTCGTAAATTAGCTTTTAGGATTATGATTATTTTGATTAAGTAAACCAATAACAATAGTTTTGTATTTATCTCATAACGTATCTTAAATATCGGCTATTGTTTGGAATTTTTGGACGGAATTGTGTGGAAATTCATATTTTCGGTCATTATAAATTGTTATTATTATTATTTGACTTTGCCATAAAATTAAAAGCCCAAGTTTGGGCCGTAAGTTGATCTTAATCCACGGGTAAAATGTTTGCTTAGGTTTTTTTCTATATCTGTTTTTCTCATATCTCAGCTTTGTCTGCGAAAATTACAGATTTACAGATTCAAATTTCGTCCTGAGCACGAGACATGAGAGTTCATTCTAATTTTTCTGCCATCGAAGCCAAACTTGATGTTGATTTTGTCAGAATTTGTACAACGCCGAAACTAAAAGTTCATTCATAATTTGGTAAGACCAAAAATGCATTATTGTTTAATATTGGTACTCACGTTCTGCAGAGCCTTCTCCTTCTCCTCAAGCTTGGCGTTGACCTGCATGAGAGCCTCCTGGGTCTGGTCGAGGTCATTTTCAATTGTCTGGATCTTCTTTTGCAGCTGTCTCGCCTCTTCCTCAGCCTATCACCAAATATTAAACAATATAATACACATTAACAAAAGTATATAGATCAATTACTTTATGGTAACTCAAAAAGAAAAATATTAGTGTCCGACCGAAGGTCTATTTTTGGCCGAAGCCGAAGCCGAAGCCGATTAATCGGCAATCGCCACAACCTTCGCCAAAAGCCGAAGCCGAAGCCGAAGCCGATGGTTTATAATTTCTCAGTAATTAATTTTGTGCAATATTGTCTACAAGCTACAATTAATATTAAAATTATTTCAAAACTTCAATATTGAAGGTTATATTGACTGTCTCATATAGAAGTTGATTTAGAAATACAGATTTGACAGTGAAGGCGCTTGTGCACTACACTGAATTTTCATGTCCGGCGGTCCGATTTTTTCCGGCCTGATATGTCAGGCCATATGTAGGTAATGCTAGCCTGTGCCAGGAATATATTTCCTGTCTTCTACGTCTTCGTACGTACAGTAATAGAGCAAGCAATTACCAACGTTTCAAAAATCTCATCGTGCCTATTGTAAGTGACGTGTAGCTTCACAGAGAGCTACCCTAAAATGTGCCACTCTGATCCGGAAAAAAACGGACATGTGCACAAGCTACTCATCCGAGTTTTTCATGTCATTCGGGACCGGAAAAAGTCGGCCCGCCGGACCTGAAAATTCATTGTAGTGCACCATCGCTCTGACTCCCCGCGGTCTCTACCAACACGACCGGTCCATCGCACTCTCACTTAGTCTTTCGAAACAGTTCGTTCAATCTCGACGGTAGCTCGGACCTTCGGCGAAACCTTCGGCTTCGGCCTAGTTTTGGGCCGAAGCCGAAGGTTTCGCCGAAGATGGTTTTTTTGGCCGAAGGTGCCTGATGCCGAAGCCGAAGCCGAAGCTTCGGTCGGACATTAAAAAATATACATTTTTATTTTATCCACACCACGAAATATTACTTAATAGATCAAATATGTAAACTGTCCGCCCGCTACATAATTATGTGAGTAATTTTCCTAATGCTGTAAATTGTTAGGGAAAAAATCTATGATTTAAATGGTCAATCGTTCAAAATCATGAAATAGTGATAAGAGAAGAGTAATATATACAACATAATCAATTTTTGAATTTATAAGTAAAACATTTTTTTTAAATAAATAAATAAATATTTCTTAATAGCTTGAAAGTAACAATAAAATAGTTTGAAATTCTGTGGAACTTATTTATTGTTGTACAAATGAGAAAAAATTTAATAAATTATCAAATATACATGTTCTTAATAACTGTAATGTATTTTTATTTATCATATCGAGAAATTTCACACGGAACGACAAGAAAAGCTCTGGGAACATAGTTTTTGATTTTTTTGTGTATGTCATTTTGTATAGTGTAACTTTTCACTTATCAATTTTTGAAAATTCTAAAAAGAAAACATGAAAGTACAGAAAACGTTATCTTTTTAATGAATTTAGGAAACAAGATTTACGCCCTAACCGCACTCTTTGTCCCTTAATAATAAAACAAATTTAACTCCCCTTTTGCAAAAAAACAATGTTTGCAAATAGTTTGTATACCTTCTCGGCACGGAGGTTGGCGTCCTTGGCCTGCTGCTCACACATGACGGCCCGGTCGAGGGCATTGTCCTTCTCCAGCTTCATCGCCTGCATTTTCTTCTTGATCGCGTCCATGTTGGCGGCTTTTTTGTTCTACTCCCCTATGTGAAAAGCTGTAAAGAAAATATTTCAAATTTCACAATAATAACCAAACAATTTTCACATTATTTGGAGACTTAAACTGAATAAATTATCTTATTTGAAATTTTTGTATGTTACATATCACTATTTACCTGCTAAATTCTAAGAATCAACTAGGTAAATAGAAAAAGATAAATTACAATAAAAGTCATTCGTCCTTTATCTCTACTCGATTTTTTTTATGGGTATTCAAAATAATACGAGTACTTTATTTCGAAATCCAATATATGTTAAAATTTACTAAGCGTAAGATTGAGTTCGTATTTTTGATACACCTAAATGGATTTTTCTTGTTAGTATTTTTAATACGTAACGTTATTTTATTTTATTTATTTATATTACATCACAAAACAAGATGGACTAACATATTATTTAAGGAAGGACCTTTCGATTTCAAATACTGATCAATATTGCTTTACTTCATGGTATATATTTCAATACATTACGAAATAAAACATGAAGACAATACACATTAGACTATTTATGGAACTGAAGGAGCATTGATCTCAGCAACAAGGGTTTAAGCTTATTTCAATAGCCATTTGGTAATGTTGCGTGAAGCAACACCACGTCAAGAGATGTTACGCTAAACCTTTATAATCATGCCAAAAATAGCTAACTAAACAATCGGACAAAACCTCACATATTTATCATCTTAAGTACCTTTAGAGTTAATATGACAGTTGAATAGTTCACGGCTTATTCTCTCGATCGTAACGGAAATAAATTAAACGGTTCTCTCAAATCTTAGAAAGAATTATATCGATGTTAACAAGCTATTCTGTTTTTTTATTGTAATCGTTACGAATGCAAAGGTTAAGAACCTGGGCTAAAGCGACGCAGCAGCCGCAACAATCGGTAAAACTGTAATTTTTTACGCCAATTTAGTGTTAGACGAGGTATATTTTTAAAGTGAAGTATTAAAGAAAAACCAACCAAGTGCGAGCGAGCCTCGTGCACTAAGGGTTCTTGTTTAAAGATTTGTTTTATTCTGATTTAAGACTGATGTCTTTTTTATTTTAGACTGTCTGGCTATAACGATTCATGAAATATAGCCTAATGACAAGCAGACGGGCAGACAGTCACCGTGGACTACGAGGTTTTAGTAATAGGTCCCCTTTTCACCCTTCGGTTATGGAACACTAAAATATGACTAAATAAATTTTTATTGCCAAAAAATAGAGTTTTAGAATTTTATCCTTTCTTATGATACTGTAAATGTGTATCATTATATTATATTTGCATCGTGTTAGTTGGTGGATATAAATTCGTAAACTATTATTATCTAACGCGTTATTGGAATTTAATATAACCTACATATAAAATTACCTCTATTAATTCAATTTCAAATAACCATACTTATTTAATTTATAGCTAATCTATTGTTACATAGATATTTGGGAAATTTATTTGTCGCCAAATATGTAACAAAGCGAGTTTGTTGCTTGTATACATTTGTACAATTTAATAAACAAAGCCTTAATTTAATTAAATGAAATGAAAGTATTTTTTAAATGAGATTAAACGCTGTCATCTGACACATCTATTCTTTGCTTAGACTTAAAGTATTTTATGTAATACAAATAAATTTTATAAGATATAAAATCACCTTGTCAGCACAGGAACTCTGGTTAATTTTAAAACCTTTGTACTATATTCCAATGTATATTAAAAAATATAGATTATTTTGGTATAATTAAGAATATAATTAAGATTCTTTTGGTATAATTAAAAATAAATATATCCTATTGCAAAAAAATTGAGAGTGTCAAAACAAGAACTCTTCTTTTTGACACTCTTAATTTTTTTTGCAATAGGAGTTTTTTTTTTATAAAACATGAAAATTCGAAAAACGAAAATCATCATTTTGTTTATTTTATGAATAATTACAATCTTTTTGGTATTACATACAATCCATTATTTATCATTATCACTTCACTAGCTTTTGCTCGCGACATCGTCGGCGTGGTATTGTTACTTCGAGCAGCATTGCTAAAACGTATATTTATTCTTTATATCTTGTAAAATACCTAAAATTAAGTTTCATTATTTTATCTACGACAATGGCGGACTATAATAAGCGTGTTATCGGAGTCATGAGTGACGGAGTCATGAGTTCCAAGAACACATATATAAGCTTCTTGTTAATTTCGACTGGACTATTACCACTTATAAGAAATTAATTTATATTAATATTAAAAATAGATTAATTTTGAACTTTTTTATTTTTTTATAGAGAGAGGGTAATTATTAAAAATACTGAACCATCATGAAAATTCTCTCACCAACGGAAAGCTACGTCATACTCATCATCGTAGGCTATAATTTACGCGGACAAAGCATGAAAACGGCTAGTAGTAAATATTGTCACGCATGCAGTAAAATAGCACATTTAAAACTACGGACAGCACACATTTAGATATTTGGATCCTGATTTTATTTCAGAGTAAGCCTTATGAGAAAAGAAAAAGATGACGCGTCTACTCTGCGATTCAAAAGAAAAGCATTCCAGTACATGACTCAACATTTCGCGATAAATTTCATAAGGGTCGCTGCTCGCGGTCCACGGTCCACGGTCCACTCATTGTATAAACCTTCCAATTCACTGTAACTTTTTCAACAAACCACACATGCTCGGCATAAAATTACTGTTACTAAGTAGTTATATTTAGTGTGAAGTTGAGATTTAATTTATTTTATTTAGTAATTTATCTTTATTTTTATATGTTCATTCTTGTTGTAGTAGTAGCAGTATCAAGAGACTAATCAGTCAGTTTCCAATAACAAGACAGATCCGACAGCCGTTGGTCAGATAAATTATATGGAAAATAGATACATTATTGTGCTTATTTTTTTCTAATTTATCTTTTTTATTTTTTTCATGTAAAGCTAGTTAACACTACAACTCTCCGTTTGACCCATGACATTGAGTCCGCCATTTGTACATTTTAATTTGTGCAATACTCGTATAGCTTAAAAAAATAAATATTACTAGATGGTTATTAAAAACACATAGGTATGTTACAAAGCACACGTGTAAATCACACGTTCTTTAAAATTAAACGAATTAACTACAAATTTTCAATTGTACATCGATAAATACTATATGTAATATACTTTCCCAAGCAGATGAAGTCGCGGGCTATTATTTAAGCATTAAAAATATATAAGTGTTACGGAATGAATTAAAAAGGTAATATGCCGTGCCTAGAATAATGTAAATGACACGATCTTCTTTCTTGTTGATTATAACATCACGTCCTTGAGTGTGAGTTGAACGCATTCGCGGTACATTAAGCAAACACATGCATTTCTCGCATTCCACATCTCCAAAGTAAACCCATCATTATTTTCTTTATGATAGCTATTTGCATCATACCTACTCAATGCAATCAAACATTTCCTGATTTTAACATTGTATCTGTTAGCGTAAAATATGTAGGTAATTATACTTAGCTACTGTTTTACGCTTAATTAAATGTTTTCTTATTTTGTAATGCAGACTTTTTTATCCACATATAGATTTAACATATCACCGAATGATTTGTGACGTTGTTTTAACAATATCCGATGGAACAATTATATATTTACGAGCAAAAACTTTCAAGTTTCTTACCAACTTTAAAAAGGTAAATTATCACTATGGCACGAATTTATGTAATTTCGTTGGATTGTCACGATACTCATATATGGAAGTCTGAAAGGGCTTATATTTTTGATGTATTACGACAATTAAGTTTAAGATCGTAGGCAATACGATTTATATTTTCGTCTATTCAAATTCAGTTTTTATTTGAAAATTGGCTGAACAAATTGATATCCATACGGAATACTAATTTTCCAAAATTAGTTGCTGTGGTTTTGAAAATTGACACTGAATATAAAAAATTACTAGCGATATTGATACCGGTTGTGTTCTTAAACTATCATGTGACATTAAACGCATGCAATTAATTTTAATTTCGATGCCAAGGAAGGCTCAAAGACATGAATAACCGGTGAGTAGGGTTGTTTGTCATCATATATTGGCACCGTGGCCGATAATAATGTATTGTCCGCACGCAAATTAGGTCTGAGAGTGTTCTATTGTGTACAGGTTGTGTGACGTCACATAATTCTCCTTGGCTTCAGTCCAAAGATTGGCAATAATTGAAGCATTCTCTATGGGTGTCGATGCGACTATCGACTTACAAATTCGTGATTAAGAAATTCTGAAACTGAAAGAATACAGTAGCATTAGATTGTGTAAAGGGTAAAACCAATTAAATCTGGATGTTTTACAGTCAATGTCAATCTACGCTATATAGGTTTTACCTTAGGTACCATGTATTTTGATATTTGTACATATTTGGTTTTTTTTACACATAAATGCACCTAACATCTTGTGATCCTTAGTAGAGATCTAATGATAATTTCATAAAAAGGGGGATTTTCTCATTTCACTTTTCAGTGTTTCCACGCACATAATTTATTACCCAGATAAGACAATAAAATATATCTTAAGTGGAAGCATTTTCGTTTCCAATCCATCGAACGTCACTATCAGTAGATTCGATAGTTTACAATCTACATTTAAGGTTTCACACAACGTGTCGATTTTCCGGTTTTCGAGACAAATTGTCCGACAATTTCATTTAACCATGGCCCAGTGAAAATTAAGCAATGGTTCTAATCAAACGCCACAAAATCAGTTAACTATTCTAAATACTATTCTTGTAATTACTAATAAGTCAATAAGACTTTTAAAAGGTACAGAGGGAATTTCAAAATGATGTAAGAAATCGTGATTTATAAAAACTTGGTTCTGTTTTATTAATATTCATATTTTTATTAACGATATTATATATATATATATATATACAAGTTTATCTTATAAGGTAATAAAGATCATCTTGATTTCTATTCACAACTTTGGTTTAATATGATTTGATAACATTGAACAACATTTTTTAAGTAATTGAACAATTTTTTTTAATATAGTGATTATGTAGTTTAGATAAAAAATATAATTTAAAGGTCTGTCTTCTGGATTTCTTTCTGTATGCAGTCTAAGAAACCTTAGTGTAAAGAAATATTAAAAAGCCATTAAAAAAAATTAGTTCATCGAGCAGCTGGCCATCTCAACTAGTTCTAAATTTAACTGGAAAAAAAGCTGAAAGTTAGTCCGACCCCACACTAAGCTTGCGCTGCGCGATGCCGCCCCCGCTTCCCACGTTCTAACGCTATTGGCCAGGAGCTGGCAACTTGCCAAAAGCGCGGGAAAACTTCGACGTAGACGGTTCCTATTGGCTGACCAAAACGTAACCGAGCACCGCGATATTCAAAAATAGAATATAGAGCGATAGGGATCTGTGTCTATTGAACAAGTTATTTAAACTTTTGAAGATAAAATAGTTTTCTAATTTTCATTAAAAATACTAACTTTTACTTATATATTTAAAGTTTCTTAGTAGGTACGATAAAAATATTTCACTTATATGTTTTGTGGGAAAGTCAAAAGAATGTTATTTAACTTAATTCAGAATCAAAAAGTTTATTTTGTCGTTAACTTTTCACTTATACAAATCCACCGTCACTGCATTTTGACCTACTTACCGATGAGATCAATTAAAAAAGGACGAATGACTACAATTAATGCACATTGAATAAAAAAAAAAACACTTGACAATAATTCCACTGGCGAACACTGCACTGTTACTTACATGTCGAGTCGACGCGTGCTGTGGTGCGACTGGCAAGTCGCTCGGCCGCGGGCTCGGTGTCGCCTTACGACCGGGTAAGGAGATGAGGTAGGCAATCACCCCGCGCCAATATAGCACCATGGGGAAACCTTGATAATGAGATTTTTGAAAACGGAACACAATATGCTCATCAGCGTCTGTATCCTTCCAGAAAGTTCGGGTTCAGGCACTGTTAATAAACGTATCCATTGTGTTATTGCTAAGAATTTTAAAACTTAATCATTTAAATTGTAACATGTTATAAATAATGTTTTAATGAAAAATGTTTGAAAAATCCACTAATCCCAGCTACCCCGAGATGGGACTCGAACCCACGACATTTAGCAATTACGAAAGGACGTGTTCGAGTCCTGACGCAATTTTACATTCTTCATTAAAAAAATTATCTTCAAAAACCAAACGGCAAGGTCAACTAAGTGCTAATAGTACAGTAGCACTTTCTTCAATATCCATGTTAGTACATATGTAAGTTACTGACATAGATATCGAAGGTATCCTTAACGGTAGGTTTAAAGCAACACATTTTTAAATTAACTGACGAGTAACATTCCGGGTTATTTAGAAAAAACTTCGTATATTGAAAAGTATACGAGGTATAATTTTTTTGAGAATAACTAGTTAAAAGAAAGAAAGAAAATTGAAAAAGAGTTCAATTAACTGGAATATAACTGGAATTCTCTATTACCTACATACAATTTATTATATTATTACATTAGAACAAAATTTTGATCTTTATCGAAAGTTTAAATATTTATAAAAACATAACATTGATGAAAGTACGCTCTGTAGTGGCGAAAAAATAACTCATGCTTGAAAAATTGAAAAATTCGTCAGTCCTGTTAGGTCCTGGGTAGCTCACTGTCCGGATCTCCCTGGGACTTATTTTCAGATACCAGGTACCGGACCACGTGAGAGGGTTGTACGGAGGATTTTTTTTAACACGGTAGGCCCTCTCTCTTGGGGTGGGAGAGCCCGGTCTGGTTCTGGTTAAAAAAGGTCCTGGGTAGCTTAGAGTGCCAGGGACAAATACTGGACTGTATTCAATATTTTTGAAGATATAGTTTTTGAGAGCGAACCGACTCACTCGCCATACTAGCTAACACGAAGAGCCAAATAATTACCACTTATAAAAATCTTCAATTTAAACTTTCTTTTTCAGATCTCATCTATTACGGGGAATGCTCCGAGGAATTGTTCGGACTCATACCTGCCGCTACCTTCCGCCATTGTTCCACGCGACAAGAAATCCACGCCCATCATTTGGATGGTTGGAAGTCCTCAACTATGCGTTTTTCTAGAATTATTTACAATGGACGAATACGAAATTATTAAAGACAGTCTAAGTTGAAAGTTATAAGATCTACGCAAAAAACGAACTTTTATTTTTTCGGCTCTGGGTGATTATATTTTTGTTTCTATTAAAAAACTGCTTTAGCCATGGAATCAAAGAATTGAAATCCATTCGATATCTCATTAAGTACTATTTTACTATAATCTGAATTGTAATTCTTAAAAAAATACATACATATTATAATTAAAAACTTTTCATACTGAACTTTGATATATCTTCAAAGTATAATACTTTTTTTATCTTCTTAAAATCTTAGTTATCTCCTTAATATAATAAACTATAAAATACAATTTCACAGTCACCAAGTGAAACCTCGTAACGTATTGAGGAAATTTTCGAGAAAAATATGGACAGTGTAATTTCGTAATAAATACTTCGACGATGAGTCGGTTACTCAAAGTTGACATAAACTGCTCGAGCCACACTGACCCCGATGTTACTTTTAAGGTGCAACATAACTTACTCGATGTAATACTTTGAATGAAACCCTAATTACACACGCAATACGATCCAGGTTTGAGCACAGATTCAACATAAAATATGATCTTTAATAAAACCCATAAATGGATTCGCAACTGAGTTATGGACTAAAAATAACTCATATCATACACATCATCTGCGTTTAAAGAAAATCAGAGCTTACCTTAAAACCGTCTTGTTCTTTTTATGTGCATTAATATATCAGATACTTATAACATCAATAAAAAATATTATAACAAGTTTATAGCAAGTATGACGATTTAATAAAAAAAGCCGATTTCTGTACCTTAATTTTCGCATTTAAATTTTAATAAAGTAGAAATTTCATCGTTACAGTTTTTTTATTACTTGTTCATTCTATTCGTTTTGTTTATACAAATCGGTGACCATAAATTAAAAACACATTACATCGGATTTAAAACTTTTTCTATTCCAATTTTGAAATCCGTGAAACAGAACACAAATTGGTGAACTTCAAGCAGATAAGTAATAAAAACTTTTCAAACATGAAACCAACTTCAATAGCAATTTCTTGAACAAGTCGCTTTTAATAAAGTATTATTTATCACGTTCCATGTTTTTTCAGTTTTTATTTCATGCATTTTAGTGATATTAGTATTTTTTATATAATAGCCTACTAAAAATATTATATACTAGCTTTTCGCCAGCGGCTTCATACGCGTGGTCCCTAGGCAACTATTTATTTAGATATCTATTCATAAACGACAAGATGACACGGATATAAATACAATGACAAATTCAATGATAAACAATTGAAACTATGGTAATGTTTTCATTCCCTATACAAACTTCCACTCCCATTTTCATCCCTTTATTTGCTGTTTTTCGGGATAAAATATATACCGCAGATGATGTAACTTCCTACAGGTGAAAATTTTTTTGAAATCTGTCTAGTAGTTTTGGAGCCTATTCGTTGCTAAAAAACAAACAATCACATTATTCCTCTTTAAAATATAAGTATAAATATAGAAACTGAATTGCTTTAAAAAGCTAAAAGAAAACTTTAAAAAATGCGTACTGTTTCCAAAATAATACATTTTGCATAGCTGGAGGTAGAGATCGACATCCACACAGTAAAATAGTTTTTGAAAATAAAAATATATTACAAGCCCCCGCCTGATTCACTTTCATTCTTTATCTCAAAATTTACAAAAAACAAGATGAGGAATATCTGAATAATACCTTACAGTTTCATTATTAAAATTTTACTTTTTCGTGGGTGAAAAAAAGCAACCCATTTCCTGCAGTTTTTAATGGTTTTTGAGTAAAATAAGCGGTTTTACTTCATTGAACATCTACAAAGTGACAGCGCTGTACCTACTCAACAATGTGAGTTCAACGTTGATTTTATAACAGAATAGCACTACAGGTAAGGGCTGCAATTTTTTCACCCGCGAATAAGAAAACCATGAATAACGAGCTTTAGATAAAACGCTATTTAACGTATTTTAAGGTTTGAGTAATTCAAAAAGCATTATATTTATTATTACGTTTTCCGCTTGATTAGGTAACTGTAACATTTTATGTTGGTTATCTGAAATGCCATCAAATGATTTGTTTTTTATAGTTGATCCTCATTTCTTAATTCCCACGATGCAATCGTATTATATTGTGTAATCTTCACACGGGACGCCGTAATGCATTACATTGCAAATAAACTCTTTTGATAGGATTAATTGTGTATAGAAAAAACGGAGAGCTTGAATATTAATAAACCAGATTATAATTTTATATTTGTATTTTCGTCCCTATAACCTGGTAGCATGTGCCTAATATAGTACATGTGGTATACATATACTATAACATAAATCGTTTATTTCTAAACTATAATGTTTGAAAATTCCACCAGTCCCAGATACCCCAAAAACACCTCAACAGAACGCTCAAGACTCAACAGAAGCAAACCTAGTGAATTTCTCTAGCGCTTTCGCTACCAGTGAGCGTATTTACATTCATTTAGAATAAAAATCGTTTAATTGAACACTGTTCATTATATTATGTATTAACATTTACTCAGGAATAAAACCAACGTCCAGTTTTATCGAATAATATCGAATTACTATCGAAATACAATTTTTGTAGTAAACGCCGTGGAGATAAGATTTTGAATAACACTTGCGAATATTGAATGATACAGTGTTGAACGAAACCATGTTGAGTTCTTGCCGATTCTACTCAAACAAATGTTAATCAAAGAAGGAGTATTGAAAAAAAGTCGAAAACGTCATTTTTTTTATTTTAAAATAAACTCTCAGTCATAGTCAATCGTATTATAGTATAGATACAGAACTATGAATCGATTACACAATTTGAAATGGTTTTGACAGCAAAATATTTTTTGAGATTGGAACTTGAGAGCCACAGGTTTACATCGGAAAAGCCGCACTCGACTCGCGAACCGCAGAATGGCGATTTGGCTTATACTAATTCATCATCATCATCATCATCATCACTTCAGCCGAGAGACGCCCACTGCTGGACATAGGCCTCCCCCAAAGATTTCCAAAGCGATCGGTCCAAAAACAAAATTATGGTTTTAACAGAATAAAGGATAATTGATTTGTATTCATAAGTATTTACTACAGTAATCAATTAATATCCCATAGATCATGCGTTGCGTAGACAGCGCTATTTTCGTCTACAGAGCATGTGGTCCGCTCGCCTGAAATAACATGTTTCGTCACAAACATCTAAACTATTTTACAATGCTGTTACAGTTAAGAGAACGAACTAAATATTATTTTATATGAATGACGCTAAATAATTATATATTTTTAAATCAATTTTATAAATTTTCTCCCTCTAGATAAAACATAATTAAGTAAAATGTTAATTTAAACACAAACAAGAATCGACGTAAACGACACCTTCTATCTAGGCTGCTACAATTATCGTCATCGATATATAACGTTTATTTTTTGTTGATTGGTTATCAAATATTTTTGTAGTTTCCGCGTATGAAGGAAAGATTTTTATTTTTAACCGACTTCAAAATCTAAAAAGATTTCACAATCCAAGTAGATAACTATGAACATACTTACTTTACAGTCGCGGAAGACGTGTTAAAATCGAGTTAATTCGTGCATTGTACAGTAATCCGGTATGCAGAGCGACCCAGAAGATCAGGAATAACTAGATGA